GAATTATGAATATTCAGCTTAATCCTTATCACATAGAAAAAAAGCAAAGGTTTTCCACCAAAGTTTGAAACGAGTGATATGTGATTGATGCCTGCTTATTGCAAGGGTAGTTTTTCAAGCAGTTATGCCTGCACTAGATAATGAGACACAGCGGTGTGTGGTGAGCTTGCATACATTGGCATTAAACTATTAGGAATGAAGAAAAATGGTAATTGTATTGGAAAACTGTTACATTGTTTTGCTTTTCTTTGTCTATTTCTCACATGCATAATGTGTGGAAAATGGACAGGGAGCTATATAGTATAATCATGATAGAAAAAGGAAGGAAAGTTCCAAAAAATAGCTGTTTGTATTAGTGTATCGATAAGAATACACATAAACGGTGTTCAGTGTTTTATGGGATGAATAGACCTCAAGTTAACGTCCATGAATCTGCCTATTTTGCTGTAGATGGATGTGTAGTCATAATGAGGGTGCATATCTCAGCTATTAAAAACACAATACACAGGCACGGGCTGCCATTTTTAATCGTTGCATTGATGGAGGGGGACGTGGAAAAAGAATTATTCTTATTAAGCAGGTTAGGAATGGGGGGGAAATTCAATAAGAGCTGATTCACACATGTGGGATGCAGATTGAAGCTCAGGTTTCACAGCTAATTCACACAGTAGTTGTTCAACGGTTCATGTCAGGGTTACATCAGGTTCAGGACAGGATTAGCTCTCAGGTTCACACATGTGCAGTTTAGAAACAGTTCCTAAGAAGTCAATAGCCTGTAATCCACACCCTAACCTTACAGCACTGCTCAGAAATCGTACAGGACTCTCTTTCAAACCACACTGAATCTGCATTGAATCCGCACCACCAGTGCCCCGAACATATGTGAACAGGCTAATCAGCAATTTAATAGTAATCATTTTTTATTTTTATTCTAATTACATTTAATGTATTGATCTAGGGTCTGGTAATAACATTAGACTCAAAATGCACCCATACACATATACACTGTTCATATACGTATATATATATATATATATATATTTAGATATATATGTTTATATACCATCTATTTACTTATTAATATATTCATAATCTAATTACAGCCTACACTCAGTAACAACAGAGTAATCTCTTCCTTTTCCTCTCTTTCCTTTCCCTCTTCTGACTCCTATACGAGTGGAGTTACGAAGCCTGGGTGTTTGTGCGAAGTTGACCGTCCCCTGTATGACAATCCCTGTGCCAAAATGGCAGCTGGAACGCATCACGCATGCGCAGTAGCGAGCTCGGATGCCAGCGTGCATTCCACCGCCACCTGACTTAACCCTGCAGTTACAACTCCTCTCTCCACTGCCATTTTACTAATCTGAGACATTGACTAATACACCCTGTCTGAATGGCTTCCAGATACCAAATGATCGATTCAAAATGATAGTGAATTCTAAGAGGCCATTACTGCAAGCTGTTAACAGTGATTTTTTATATGATCCCAATAGAAATTAACAAAAATCACGCATCCCAGGCTCTTTACAATTCTAAGGTAATTTTACCATCATAATAGTATCACATCTAAATTAAGTCAGTTTATTACCATTATAAGTATCTGCTCTAATCGTAATTTGGATGACACCGATGACCTTTCTTTATATCTATATTTATTTAAATATATTTATTTATAACTAAGATCACTTTTAAGTGGAATTTTAAATGAATGGCAACATCAAGTTTACGTACATCATCATGTAATTTTAGCATGTTTTGATTGATAGTAATAATTTTACAATTGTACCTCTATTAATGGTTTTTAGTGTTAATGTTTATCAATTTCCTATCTCCATGGTTTTTACACATATGCATACTTTTGTTGTGACACGTTGGCCCTACCCCATATGATGTGTGTGTCCCTCCCATAGGGGAGGGTTCACACATAGGTACTGACTGTATGTAGGAGAGGGCCCTCTTAGTCTGACTAGCTCTGATGAAGAAGGGACTCCCCTTCGAAATGCGTCAGCGTCATTCTGAGAATTTCCCTTTCAGATGGGATTCGCATGTGTCTCCTTATCGTAGGATGTGCTTTTGGATTTTATATGCCTGTTTTATTACTACTCTTGTGAGTATATCTCCTAAATCAGTAAATTTACTAACTGTTTACTGAGGTAATGCGCATGGTTTGTACGCTCTGTTTTTGTTCCCCACTACAGTTTGTATCAAGCTTCCCCAGCTGTGTATTGGAGCTGAACAGCTTTTGATCGGTCTTGGACAAACTTTCATACATCTTTATACTCTTTATACTGTTGATCCATTGGCCCTCTACTGATCTGGGTCCCTGAGCGCAGGAGGTGTTGTAATTATATGTGAACAGGTACCATAGGAAGCAATGTTATTTCACATGTCATGCGGATTGGATGTGGTTCAAACTGCATCCAAACCACATATATGTGAACCGACATTAAGGCTACTGCGCCATTTTTCTTGTGTTAATTGCTCTTGTTATTCAAAATTAAATACCGACAGTTATGAAAGTTCAGCAAATGAAGACAAGCTTTCTTTTCACATTCAGAGACAGATTTTGAGAAAGTATCTTACGTGCATTCTGAAATTGGCTGTGCAGGTGCCAAATTCAAGTACAAGTTCTAGACAGGGAGATGAATTTGGCACACACTGCGTCACTTTTAGGGCGCTTGTGAAACGCTTTTGCAAAATCTGTCTGTGCAAGTATTTATGGATTTCAGGGAATAGTGTCTTTGTTACAGTTTTCTGAAACTTTCAGGCAAATAACAGTTTATTAAAATAGTTGGAAAAAAATGGTCCAAGCTCTGTTAAGATATTATCCTGCTTAACAATTGCAACTTTGCGGCAGACAAATTGTCACTATTCCTTGGGTAAACATTTCCAGACTCTTTTAGTAATGTTATCTTGCTTGACAGAGAAGCTGATATACTATTGCAGCTTTGAGGGACATAAAACATTACTATTGCTTGAGGAAATATTTTCCAGTTCTGGTATTATCTTACCTGTAGGGAGACTAGCACGGTTGACTTAAGCTGGCCATAGACTGATCAAAAGTTGACTGGTTCAGCAGAGACCAGCCAAATTTCAATCTGCGTATGCCCATTTCCACCCAACAGAAGTCAATCGAACTAGTACCAGGGACATATTGGAAAGTTTTATATATATATATATATATATATATATATATATATATATATATATATATATATATATATATATATATATATATATACACACACACATGCTGTTCCCTGTATAGGATGCTTTCTCCATTATAGGATGTCATTTCCTCATAACACATTTTTGTTCCTTTGTAGGACATTCTTTTCCGTATTGGACATTCAATTTTGATTGGAGAAACTTTGACACAAGTCTTTCTGAATGTGTATGGACTTTATGATTTTGTTCAGATGGATGTGTATTTATGTTTATGTTCATACTTGATTTGTGGATGCATGTATTCAATTTGTTTTCTTTATACACTTTTTGTTTTTTGTTTCTTTTCTTGTCCTTTCTGATATGTAATATGCTTTTACATCTTGTGTCATTGTAAGTGGTAGGTTTGTCCTTGAGGTTCAGTGCTGATTGATGCAGGTGTTGTTTGATAGGTCGATGCCTATAAAAGACAGAACTCCTGATCCTCTCTCTGTTATGATTAAGCACGTGACCGTGTGAAACGCATTAACAGCCAGCATAGTCCTGGTGCTGTACATCCTTTTATGAACCAATAAACAATTTTCCTTTGACCTAATAGGTCTATTACCAATTTTTTGTGATACATAATAAAGCTATTGGTTTTATTTATACCGCTGTTGGTTCTCTTTTAAACTTCTTTCCCTTGGGGGAATCTCTTTACCCTCTATTGTTTACTCCTAGAGTAACTGCCTGTCTCCTGGAATCTCCTCCATGCTCTTGTGACTGTGCTGGGAGACACAGCAAACCTTCTGTCAATGGCACGTATTGATGTGCCATACTGGGGGAGTTGGACTGCCTGTGCAGCCTCTGTAGGGTCCAGGTATCGCCTCATGCTACCAGTAGTGACACTGACCCTGGCCAAATGCAAAACTAGTGAAAAACAGTCAGAAAAGATGAGTAGGGAAAAAAATATCAGTGGCCTCCACCTGTAAAACCATTCCTGTTTTGGGGGTTGTCTCATTGTTGCCCATCTAGTGCACCTGTTGTTAATTTCATTAACACCAAAGCAGCTAATATTGAATTGCAATATTTAACAGGTAAAATTGGTTTAGTTAACTTTAACCCTTTAATAACTTATAACCTTTTTTTCCTTATATTCTTTTTTGGAATTAAATTAATTTTTGATTCCCCTATGTTAATTCTGTTATACCTAAATGGATATCTGATGCCCATTATATTTTCCAACTTTATCCTATTACGCTTAGATAGATAATTGATGCCCATTATACTCTTCAACCTTTTTGGACATTATAGGCCAATTAGACCTTTAGACAGAATATACTTTTATATCTCTCTACAATTTTTACCAGGTAAAATCGCTTAAGTTAATGTTTTATTAATTAACACCTTTTGATTTCTTTTTTGAAATTAAGTTACCGTATTTTTCGCTCCATAAGACGCACCTGACCATAAGACGCACCTAGGTTTTAGAGGAGAAAAACAAGAAAAAAAATATTCTGAACCAATGGACTGCAGACATAGTACAGGAGATGACCAGAGACTTCGGACATAGTACAGGGAATGACCAGAGACTTCGAACACAGTACAGGAGATGACCAGAGACTGCAGACATAGTACAGGAGATGACCCGAGGCTGCAGACATAGTACAGGAGATGACCAGAGACTGCGGACATAGTACAGGAGATGACCAGAGACTGGGGACATAGTACAGGAGGTGACCAGAGACTGCGGACATAGTACAGGAGATGACCAGAGACTGCGGACATAGTACAGGAGATGACCAGAGACTGCGGACACAGTACAGGAGATGACCAGAGACTGCGGACACAGTACAGGAGATGACCAGAGACTGCGGACATACTACAGGAGATGACCAGAGACTGTGGAAATAGTACAGGAGATGACCAGAGACTGTGGACATAGTACAGGAGATGACCAGAGACTGCGGACATACTACAGGAGATGACCAGAGACTGCGGACATAGTACAGGAGATGACCAGAGACTGCGGACATAGTACAGGAGATGACCAGAGACTGCGGACATAGTACAGGAGATGACCAGAGACTGCAGACATAGTACAGGAGATGACTAGAGACTGCGGATGTGATGGATTTGGTAAAATGCCTATTTCGTTTCCTATTGAATATATATATATATATATATATATATATATATATATATATATATATATACGCTATTTCTATAAGTTTTAGAAATATTTACTTTTATACTTTAATACATATGTTGTGTGAATATTTTCTGCCTGCTGGGCTTTGTGGTACTATAAGAAATCCTTGCTTAAGAAATGTCTGCTCACACACACAGACCCCCTCCCACCGTGTGATTTGGGAAACAAAGGAATGTTTTTCTCTCTTTAAGATAAGACGGAAGAAGATCACAGCTATACCATGACGGAGATTGTTTTCGTGTGGAAATGACCAATCAAAGACTAATATAATGCTTATGCTGTTATCACGTGATGTTCGCATCATTTTTCATATATAAACTCACGGTTTCATTTCAATAAATTAGAGAGAAGTTTTCACAGACCAAACGTGTCAGTGTGAGTTTCTTGTGCGCACATTCCAGAAGCTGGCCAGCATCATAAAATTAGGACAGGAACAGATAAGCACTGGACGATTGAGTCCGTAACTAAATCACGGACATAGTACAGGAGATGCCCAGAGGCTGCGGACATAGTACAGGAGATGACCAGAGTCTGCGGACACAGTACAGGAGATGACCAGAGACTGCGGACCTTTGGGGAGAGAGGGGGATCAGGTACCTGAATTTGACAGGTACCCGCTGTGATGGTCGCGGCGTCAAACCCCCAGCCCTTCTTACCAACTCGTGACCGAAGGACTAGCCAATCTAAAACCACGCTGTCACGTGCGTAACAATGCCACACTCAGCTGCACCCTGCACAAAGATTTTCCAGCTAATGGAATGAGAGCGATTGTTACTGGATCAGGTTAATTACGCAATTAACCCTTCACACTGCCATCACCGTCTTTTTGTACAGAGTAGGAGGAAACTCGCCAATCTTAGCAAATATGATGTTTGAATAAGCGTCTGTATACACACTGTCACCGCAGGCAGATGTATGCAGAAGTTTAAAACACACAGTAGCGCTCTTCAGAGACAGGGATTCTTAGTTTGCATTAAAGAGCTTTAGAAACAGTTCAACACTTTCAGATAATAGGATTTATTACTAAAAAGGTCAAAATGGTGCAATAAAAATATTTACAGAAAAAGATGTAGCCAATATATATACTGTATATAAATACAGAGAGCAATACCACAACAGAGAGATAACAGAAAGAAGATTAGAGAGGTAGAGTACTTGCCTTGGTTTAAGCAGATCAAGGTCCTTAACAAAAGGGTCCCGTTCTCCCAAGTTGGTTCCTGATGTTAAAAAGGGAGAATTCTTCAACTTATCTCTCTCAGGCCTGACAGCCTATTTTCTAGTCCACCAGCAGGGTGTCTCCTTAAAGCAGAGAACCAATCACCTCATTTGGGGAGGGTGTTTAGGCGGGGAACTCTGCTATGACCAAATCCCTCACATGTTTATACCAAGGTCAATAATCTTCCATAGGTACATGGAGCATCCTATCCACTGGTAGGATAATATGCAGAATCATCTGCTGAATGTCTGGATATCAGATATGACATATCTACCTGTGACGGTTAAAGAGATATCGCTTTCTGTTCTCGGGTAGATGTAATCTAGGGGTGTAAGATATCAGGCAACTCACATTAAACGGAGCTATCAGAATATATGCTTTGTTCGATTGTATGTATTCCCTATTTTAAGTTATGAAAAGTGTTTTTTAAATGGGATCAGGGGCAGAATGACCATTTGGAAACTCGGGCACTGCCCGAGGGCCCGGGGTCAGTAGGGGGCCCCATGAGATACCCCTGGTACCTTTTTCATAGGCTTTTTTGAGTTTGGGCAAGGACACAGGGGCCCCATGATCCCCTATTGCCTGGGGGGCCCCATAAGCTGTCTGTCCGCCCCTGAATGGGATGTATGTTTCACGGCTATTCTGGAATGTGGTTCATGTCCAGTGAAGGACTGGTTTATAGCTTTACGATCATCTCAGATCGAGAAGCTAACAAACATCCGGGCACCAGCTAATTGGGGTTACAACCATGAAGTGTATCCGGCTGTGCCTGATGCCCTTGTGAAACCAGCACACACACACACCACATTCCTGAGGGAGGGGGATTGGGGGGAGAGTGAATGATTGAAGATGGGAATCTTGAGCAAGATGGATGACCGCGTCCATATCTGTGTGCACAATTGCTGCACTTCCCCCTCAGGTGGTTGCATGGGACAGAACTGCAATTTCCCTCCTGACGCAACCGACTCCTGCTGCTGGTTTGGCTGATCAGGGCACAGATCCATTATGCTCAGAGGTTCCCTTGGTTTGATCTGGTACAACTGCACTGTGGGAGAATCAGGCTCCTTCTGGGAAGGGTGCTGTTCTCCCCAGCAACACTGTTGTGCCAACCAAGTGAGTTGTTAGGGGTGAGCACCAGTCTGCTGTGACTAACCGGATATCATGGCAACTGCCGTGGTGCCCACCTGTTCACAAAACACTTCTGTTCAGGGGTGTCCTATGCTAACATATTGAGATGTAGCTTCTTGTCGAGGTAGAGAATGAATTTCCCTCTCCAGTCCCCCCTTCCTCAGGCCCAGGACTACATCTGACCCGAAGGTAGTGGCGCCTGTGTGCACCGGAACCGGTCAGGTGAATAATGGAAACTCACCTTCCAGATGTGTCTACAGGTACCTTCGTCCAGGATGAACAGTCCTCTTTACCTGCTAGCATCCAGGATACCATTTCCATCAGTTTCCTGTCTGTTAGGTCAGTCACAGGTTCAGCTGAGCCATGATAGTTGCACCCAGGGTCTTACCGAAGCAGCTGCACCCGAGACTGACGTAACCTGCTTTTTGGCCTGGGGTAGTAGGCCAGACCATAAATTGCCTCAGTCTCCCTATTTCCAGACCTCAGGGGGTCTCTTCCTACCGGTGGTTTCCAGTGCTGAACCACTGACATGCCCTCTGACAGTTACCATTTTTGACTGTCAGACTAGGCATGGGCAGTGACAGGGTCCAAGTTGCTCTTCCCAGACAGGGCCGAATACTGCAAGGTCCCTGAAGTGGGCAACTGCACACAGTTCCAGTCCACATTGTAGGTCATTCCTGACCCCTGGGGAGGTGGTTGGTGCATTTTCAACCCCAACTAGCTTTCCCGTTAATTCAGGCTAGCCACATGGGATGGTGAAGGCTGACTCGTCCTGAGCCTCCTGGGTTAGAGATGGTGGCCCATACCCTCTGTTCAGGTCCATGATGGTTAGACAGCGGGCACCTGCCGGATGCTTCATTACCTCATGGCTCCTGGGCATGGGGTAGGCCCCAACCACAGGGCTGGCGCTCAGTTTTCCAAGGTCCTTACAAAGCCTGGTCATCTGATCCTGTTTGGGGACCAAGACTACCGGTGATGCCCAGAACCTGTGGGACCTCTGGTTCCCTGACTGCGCTATTCCCTCTGTCTCTTTGGCCCATTCAGTCTGCACCTCCTGTGAGATGAGGTGGGCCGAAGGCATGAGGGAAGGATACACCCTGCCGTCCAATTCATGAACAGCACGGTGAGCTCTCCCAGGGTTTCCCTGAACCCAGACACCATCTACCATAGGTCTTGCCAGCAGCTTCTGTACCTCAATGGAAAGGAAAGGTGATTGGAGCTAAAGGCTGAAGCTCCCTCTCTGAGGACCGCTATCAACTCCAATAGGTCCCCTCGCACTTCCAATCCAGGTGTGCTGTCATTGCCCATGACATACGTTCGTCTGCCTGGTTTTTGGGGAGTGAATCTAAGCCAGAAATAGTTGGAGGTGACTTCCTCCCTGGCTTAAGATTTTCCCCATACACTTTGACGGGCTAGATCAGGTGATACTCTTTCAGTCCCCAAGCCCCCTGCTGGTAGACCATTCATTTCACTGTCCCAGTCAAGCTGTTGTTTACCTTTCTCAGCAGGGAAGCTCACAGTTAGCTTGCTGCTGAAGTCCATGTTTTGATCACTCTTCAGTGCTGCCTTGGTTGTGGGACTACAAGTCCCAACCAACTGTCCAGTACCATACAGACAACTGCTGGGAGGTTATCAAGGTAGAGTCCTCTGAGCCGGAGCAAGAAAAAGGCCTATCCAGACCATCCCTTTGCTCAGCACCCAGAGATTGTACCTCTGCCCACTTCACAGCACTGTGGGTGACCCCCCAACAATGAAAATGCATAATTATTATCAGCATGATTATCATCATCATTATCAACATTTACGTTTGTACCATCAATGACTCAGGAGTTCATTACCTCCCCATGCAAGGGATTTCCTCTCCTTCTCCAGGTAATAGAGAATTCTGTAACCCCACTCTATTCCCCAGCAACCTCCGTCTGTCCATCCACAGATTGCCCATACATTACCCCAACATCTGAACACAGTACCTTGGCATGTCCAGAGAATTCAAGGGGTCCTACAGGGTGTTCTTGGCAGGGGCATAATAGGAAACAAGAGTACCCTGTAGCAATCGTGCACACAGAGCCGGACGCGGCCCTCCATTTTGTTAAGAATACTCCATGTTGTGTCATCATTCCCCCTCCCTCTCTGTTCATCCACAGTGACATGTGGTCGTTGTGTGTGTTGGCAGAGGTCAGAGGCAGCCAAGGCACAGCAGGGAGCTCCAAGCTATAAAACCTCCAAGGGAGCTGGGTGCCTAGCTGTCTAAGAAGCTGTGCAATCTGGCATATCGTGAAAGTATAACCCAAGCCTTTCCCTGAATTCAAAGACATTCCAGGAGTAATAAACTAGATACCACATTCAAAATCCATTTTCCCCCTATGTCTCATATCTTGGAATATGAGAGACTTACATAAAAACCAGGCATATCTTCAGATTGGTGATGATAAGACAAATGGTTTGATATGTCACACTCCTTAGCTGGCATACATAGAAAAGCAGAAAAGCATATCTCCTGAACCATTCCAGTGTACATTTCATGTTTACTCATCTAAACCATTCCGCAGATGCGGCTGAGTATTAATATACTAGTGCCCAGGCCGGCAAAATGTACCTAAGAAAAGTTATGAGCAAAATATAAGCTATGAGAGACTCTGGTTGTAACTTAGGTCTCCACCCAACACCCCTACCCAAACGGAGACCATTGTTTACTACTCCAAAGAGGACACCCCTGCTGGGATTTGCTAGAAAAAGGCTGTTGTGCTTGGAGCGTGTGGAGAGAGAAAGCAGAGTATCCTGATTTAATCATCGAAACTAGCAGTAGAGACAAGAAGATCCTTTTTGGCTCATGAGACTTGAAGCTGCTTAACCCAAGGCTTTTTGGCAAGTACTTATCTACCTAAACTTCTTTCTGTTATCTTTTTTGCTGTGTTATTGCTCTCTGTATATTTTATATATATATTAGTTACATCTTTTTTCTGTAAACTATTTTGATTGCACCTTTTTACCTTTGAGTAATAAATCTTTCTTTCTGAAAGTGTTTGAACTGTTTCTAAAGCTCTTTAATGACACTTACGAATTCCTGCCACTGAAGAGCGCTGTACTATGTGTATTTAAACCCTCTGTATAACCTGTCTTTCTCTGTACAAAAAGGAGGAGGTATTGGTGGGCAGTGTGAAGGGTTAATTGCGTAATTAACCTGAAACCATGTCAGTAACAAATCGCGCTCAGGCTGTCGGTACA